GAAAATTTCTTCTTTTCAAGGGAATGGAATGGAGTACGTGGTGGAGGTTCTGTTTGAAGTTTTTGGAGCAAAAAGAGGCCCGGGGTGTCTTCCTGTTTGCTGCAGGTAGAGCACTGATCTTGCATTTTCACGCTCTGACATTTACAGGAGGACCTGCAACTTCAGCTCCCTCTAAAGATACCCTTGCCTTGTTGTCTTTAAAGAGAAGCATTTCAGGTTAAAAGAGATGAGTCCTTAGGCTTCAAATTGCATTTCCTGAGATAATTCTATTTTTTCTTTTTTAATTTTGTGGCTGCCTCGGGTCTTGGTTGCAACACACTGGCTTCTCTAGTTGTGGCACATGGGCTTAGTTGCCCTGTGTCAGGTGGGATCTTAGTTCCCTGACCAGGGATTGAACCCATGTCCCCTTCATTGGAAGGTGGATTCTTCACCATTAGACCACCAGGGAAGTCCTTGCTGAGATTATTATAGCTATTCTAGCACCTTCACCAGAATTACTGGGCTGATCAGCATGAAAGGCAGTTATAATCCCAAGCAGTTTACACTTATGGGCTTCATCTGTGGACAACTTAACTTTCTACACTTAAAGACACTGTACCATAAAATTTTGCTTAAACACCATGATTATGCTTGGATCATACCATGCACAGAAAATACAGTGGCACCACACATAGGGAAAATGGAAACCTCTGAGCGTAACTGATGGACATGCACCCTGACGGCATCTCTATGAAATCTCTGGTTAAATGCATAGTCTAATCCAGCAATTCTTTCTGTAGGAATTGCTCCTAAGAAAACATTTGGGCAGACAAATGAAGATTAAAATCTTAGCACTTTCATCACTGCATATCAAAAAGGTTTTAAAAAATCTAAATGCCCTGGACTTCCCTGGTGGTACAGTAGTTAGGAATCTGCCTGCCAACGCAGGGGACATGGGTTCTATCTCTGGTCTGAGAATGTTCCACATGCTGTGGAACAACGAAAGCCCGTGTACAACTGTTGAATCCACACTCTAGAGTCTAAGTGCTGAAACTACTGAAGCCCGTGTGCCTAGAGCCTGTGCTCCACAACAAGAGAAACCACCACAACGAGAGGCTCGTGCACCACAATGAAAAGTAGCCCCCGGTCACTGCAACTAGAGAAAGCCCTCGTGAGCAACAAAGACCCAGGGCAACCAAAAATAAAAATAATAAATTATTTAATAAATAAATAATAACAATCTAAATATCCAACAAAAAGGATTTTTTGGATACGTTTATAGTATTTTAAATACAATAAAGGAATTAAGAACATGATGCAATTAGAATCAATAAATAATAAGATTTCAAGATACAATGCCAATGTGCAAAAAGCAAATGTACTTCTATATACTAGCAACAACTAAAATTCAAAACTGCAATAAAAAAAATCTTCATAATACATCAAAAATAATAATTTCCTTACAAATATTTTTAAAAGACATGAAAGATCTGTACAAACCATTATGATGATAAATAAGACCCAAGCAAATGGACAGATATATCATGTTCAGAGATTTTAAGACAAATTATTGCTAAGATATCACATCTTTCTAAAATGATCTATTAAAAAAATGATCTATAGATTCAGTGCAACAAGATTTTATAGAAACTGACAGGATGATTCTAAAATTTTTATATGGGTATGCATAAAACCTAGAAGAGCTAAAACAAGTCTGAAACAAAGTCATAGCCTAACACTGCCTGATTTCTAGACGTACCATAAATCTACAGCAACAGGACAGCATGATACTAACGTAAGAGTGGGTATATACAGATACATTGGAGAAGAGAATGGCAACCCACTCCAGTATTTTGCCTGGAGAATTCCAGTGACGGAAGAGTCTGGTGGGCTACAGTCCATGGGGTCGCAAAGAGTCGGACACAACTGAGCGACTAACAACAACATACAGGTACATAAAAGGAACACATACAGTAAACTGATTCTCAGCGAAGGGACTGGAGCAATTCGTTGAAAAGCATTTTCAGTGATATTGGAATTTATGGGGAAAAAATGAATTTCAATCCCTTTCTCCTACCACAACACAAAAATTAATTTCAGAAGGATTATAATCCTAATGGAAAAGCTAAGACTTCTGGAGCGAAAAATAAGGAAAATATTTTTTTGACCTTAGGGTAAGCAGATGTCTTATATAGGACTCCAAAAGACTAACCATTAAAGAAAAAATTGATAAGCTAGATTTCAACAAAATTTAAAACCTCTGCTCTTCGAAAGACATGGTTAAAAATACAAAAAGGCAAACCAGAGAATGAAAGAAAATATTCACAATCTATGTATCTGACAGAAAGCTTGTACCCATGTGCTTCCCTTGTGGTCCACTGGTTAAGAAATCAGCTGTCAATGCAGGGGACGTGGGTTCAACCCCTAGTCCGGGAAGATTCTGCAAGTTGCAGAGCAACTAAGCCCAAGTGCCACAACTACTGAGCCTGCACACCCAGAGCCTGTGCTCAACAAGAGAAGCCACCACAATGAGAAGCCTGCTCACTGCAACTAGAGAAAGCCCCCTTCCAGCAACCAAGACCCAGCACAACCAAAAAGAAAAAAAGACAAATCTGTCAACATTAAAAAAGAGAGAGAGAGAGAGAACAAGCTTTTACCAGAACAACAACAACAACAAATAAATCAAAAAACTATCTGCAGATCGAGAATTAAAAGACAACACGCTAAAAAACTTGGACAAAAGTCTTGGCTAGACATCTCACCAAAGAAGACACGTGAATGGCCAAAACCATAGTCAGATACCAATTCATTATCACCTAGGATAACTACAATTGAATAGTCTGAAAACACCAATTGTTGGCAAGGATGTGCCATAACTAGATCTCTCACCAGTGTCTGTGGAAGTGTAAAATAGTTTTCAAAGTGTGAAGTATGAAACACTTTCAAAAAGTGTTTGACTGTTCTTTTATAAAGTTAAGCATGTATCCACCCTATACTCAAGCTATTGAGCTTACAGGCTTTATCCAAGAGAAACCCCAACAAAGGTCACCAGACTTCTTGTACAAACATGTGGACAGTGGTTTTATTTATAACAGCTAAAAATGGAAAACAACCCAAAGTGAAAGGAAGTGAAAATGAGTCATGTCTGACTTTTTGCGACCCCATGACTAGAATTTAATTTAGTATTTAATTTAATTTAGTTCTCTAGGCCAGAATACTGGAGTGGATAGACTTCCCCTTCTCCAAGGGTTCTTCCCAACCCAGGGGTCAAACCCAGGTCTCCCGCATTGCAGGTGGATTCTTTACCAGCTAAGCCACAAACGAAGCCCAAGAATATTGGAGTGGGTAGTCTATCCCTTCTCCAGGGGATCTTCCTGACCCAGGAATCAAACTAGGGTCCCCTGCATTGCAGGCAGATTCTTTATCAACTGAGCTATCAGGGAAGCCCGCCCAAAAGTCCATCAATAGGCGAATGGAGAAACATACTGTGACATATCCATACAACGGACAGTGGAATACAACTCAACAATAAAAAAGGAAGAACTACAGATACATCATCCTACAAGACGGATGAATCTCAAAAATATTTTGTTGAGCAAAAAAGATGCCAGACACGAACAGTATTTACTGTATAATTCCACCAAGATGAAGTTTAAGGCTAGGTAAAACTAACTGAGAATGATAGAAACTGGAATAGAGTCCCTTACAGAAGGATGGGAATTAAAATATGGAAAAGCACAAGAGGGAACTTTCTTGAGTCATGGAATGGTGATCTGTCTGGATTAGGATATGTATACATTTGTCAGCAATCATCTAATTCTACATGAGAAGTCTATATCTCATTCCGTATAAATATTAGTTTAGTTCAGAAATTTTAAAAAAAAAGTAAGTTAGAGCATACTGTTATTAACATAATGAATACAGCATGTTAGAGCAGTAAATATAACTTGACTGCACTTTTGTCTTTAAAAATCATTATATATAAGGTTATTTGTACACATGTATTATTTAAACATTAAAATACAAAACCATATCTATGTTGTATATAATTCATATATTATCAATATAACATAAATGCTGCTGCTAAGTCACTTCAGTCGTGTCTGACTCTGTGCGACCCCGAAGATATAATCACACATAATTATGTATGTATAATAAAGATCACATATTTATATTTAATATATGATGATAATATCATCATAGTATATATGATGATATTAATACATTGATATATATTAATGTATTAAAATATATAATACATTAATACAGCTATAATATTGATATTGAGGAGGGCATGGCAACCCACTCCAGTATTCTTGCCCGGAGAATCCCATGGATTAAGGAGCCTGGAGGGCTACAGTTCATAGGGTTGCAAAGAGACAGACATGACTGAAGCAACTTAGTACACAGCACACAGAGCACAATATTGGTATTATACATAAATTTACGAAAAGCATTAATATATATATATAAAACTGTTGAGAAAGATATATCAATATTTAGCAGAAAATAACAAAATTCTGTAAAGCAATTATCCTTCAATTGAAAAATAAATAAATTTTTTAAAAAGATAAAACACTAATATTTCCTTTTGGGTGCTGAGATTTCAAGTGGTTTAAAATTTTGCTTCTCAAGCTGATATTCTTTTCAAAAATTTTTTGTCGCGGTGACTTACTGTGTGTGTAGCTAATAAAGATACATCAAATGAACACAGGAGGTCAGCATCCTTAATAAGAACAGCTGTCACATGATACTAAACCTCTGTCCCAAGAGCAGCATCAGAAAGGCTGGTGTTAGTCTTCCTCTTGCATTCCATCTGCATCCCCAGGTTCATGGGGATGAGACCACTGATGTGGAGAAACAAGGCTTGTTCTAACTGTGCCTTACCGCTTCCCACTGTTTCACCCAGTTTCTTTGACCCTGACAGCTCCTTCTTCAAAACCATGTGAACCGAGCAAGAAACTGATGCATTGACAAGATGCACGTGTCAAAGTCCTACCGGAAGGTCTCATCTATCTTACCTGAAGACTGAAGAAAAGTATTCCAGTTAAAGGCGGTGTTTGGCACTGTTGCAATTCCTGGGTCAAAGGAAAGAGGACAGAAGAAAGTTCACGTTGCTGAAACACAGCCAGTTATTTTGCGTTGACATTTTAAAAACTGTCACACTCAGCTCTCATACAGAATTAAAGCTCCGAGAGCTTCACTGAATTCCCACTGATCTCTCCAAGCCCCTGAGGTTTAAAATGACCCTCTGAGGGACTTCCCTGGTGCTCCAGGGGTTAGGACTCCATGCTTCCACTGCAGGGGGCACAGGTTTGATCCCTGTTAGGGGAACTAAGATCCCGCATGCCACGTGGTGTGGCCAAAAAAAAAAAATCAAATTAAATTAAAAGTAAGATAAAATGAGCCCACAGCTCCCCAGGTAAAAAGATACATTGCTTTCAACCCCACCATCCATTCCTGGGTCAAACTGTCTCTAGAATACAGAAAGCTTGAGTTCCTAAAAAAAATTCACTTAGGTAACAAGTATCCAAACCACTACCAACTAAACTCTAAAAGAAATTATCGGGGCTTCCCTGGTGGCTCAGTGGTGAACCATCCATCTGCCAATGCAGGAGCCATGGGTTCAATCCCTGGTCCAAGAAGATCCCACACACCATGGAGCGACTAAGCCCATGTGCCACAACTATTGAGCCTGTGCTCTAGAGCCTGGGAGCTGCAACTTCTGAAGCCCTCTTGCTCTAGAGCCCGTGCTCCCAAACAAGAGAAGCTATCACAATGGGAACCCCGAACAATGCAACTAAAGAGTAGCCCCCACTTGCCATAACTGGAGAAAAGACCTTGCAGCAACAAAGACCCAGCACAGCCANCCATGGAGCGACTAAGCCCATGTGCCACAACTATTGAGCCTGTGCTCTAGAGCCTGGGAGCTGCAACTTCTGAAGCCCTCTTGCTCTAGAGCCCGTGCTCCCAAACAAGAGAAGCTATCACAATGGGAACCCCGAACAATGCAACTAAAGAGTAGCCCCCACTTGCCATAACTGGAGAAAAGACCTTGCAGCAACAAAGACCCAGCACAGCCAAAAATAAATAAATAAAATTATATTTTTAATAAATTACACAGAAATTATATCTGTATTTAAAATTCCTCATCTCATCCCTCTAAATCATACATGACTGCCTGCTAGCTGTGTCACTTCTTCAGACAGATTTTCGTTTAAAATGCTCTGAAAAAATGAATCTAAAATGTTTGAAAATCCAGAGGCAACATTTAACAATTTATCTTGAGAGTCGAAAAGATTTAAAAATGTATAGAGTATAAATGACGTCATTGAACCACCTCTCCAAGACACCTCTAAGCTGGCCATGCACACTGACTAAACAAACAGTAGCTAGTTAAGGGGTGCCCACCCCAAGCTGGCCCTGGCACAGAATCTGGGTGGGTATGTTCCATGCCCTCCTGGAAACCCTTAAGCCCTGTTAAGCAGGTTGATTCCTCCAGTTTATCCGGCTGGAAACCGAGGTTCACTGAGGTTAATTGGATCCAAAATGACTCAGTGAGTAGGTGTTAGAGGCTGCGTCCAAACCCACGTGGTCCATCAAAGCCCGTGTGTTTGCACCACTGTCTTCTGTGGTATAAACCAGGGGCCATGGAGGAGGAATGGGAGGTTCCGCTCCAGACCTGCCCTGACACTGACACACTCCTTTAATACACACTGAGTCAGCGCATCATTTTTAAATGGGGGCTCCGAGAAAAAGTGTATTTGATGAGTGATTCTGCTGCTGAAATCATCCCTTTCACCACTACTGCATTTATACCATGACAATGAGATGTGTAACTCTGGAAGAAAGATGAAGGACAGGGAAGCCTGGCATGCTGCAGGCCATGGGGTCACAAAGAGTCGGCCAGGATTTATAGAATGAATGACAACAACAATAACAACAATGTGATGTGTATAATGTGGAATTGAACTTGTGACCCTGGGCTCAGCATTGGTTCTAATCTCAGCTTGGATTAAGCTGTGTTCTTCCTGGAACTATTGATTCCCTGGTTTCTATTGTGTGGGTCAGTGTTTTACTAGGTGTGTTTAGGAGATCCTGAGGGTCTCAGGAAAGAATGTCAGAAATCACAACCAGGGCAGGACCCTGGAGAGGGCAGGAAGAGTTGGAATGGAGGCAGAGGGTTCCGGGGCCTCCATCTCAACTCAACTTATATGGAGAAGTTTATCCTTTTCCTTTAGTGAACATATCACTGATAGAGTATTTGTACTCTATTAAGTGATCTGAGACCTGCATTTTAAATTATTCTTTTATAAGGTTCTCCTTTTATATCTTAATGATAAAAATAATAAAAATGTACCCATTTTACTATTTTCAAGTAAATCCCAGGCATCATATTATTCTATTTCAGTGCATGTCTCTAAAACATTAAAGACTTTTTTTTTCCCCAAATATATATATTTTAAATTTCTTACCTTGACTCTGGACATAGATCTTATCCTTAGCATGCGGCTTTTGAAAAAGGGAGAAAGAAAAAGTAAATTTGATAATCCATTCCCATTGTTTCTTACAAATAAAATGAAGGTCATAAAAATATCCTCTTGGAAAACATTGAAAAGAATCATCTATTTCTTTTTTTGCATATAGGGTTATTGTTACCATCTTTCTAAATTGCATATATATGTGTTAGTATACTGTAATGGTCTTTATCTTTCTGGCTTACTTCGCTCTGTATAATGGGCTCCAGTTTCACCCATCTCATTAGAACTGATTCAAATGAATTCTTTTTAANCAGACAGAAAACACACCAGGGACAAAGCCTATCAAGTGCACATCAGGAGCTGAGGCTGAAGGTCGAAGTTTTTTTGGGGAAATGTGGTTTGACAATACAAGTCCTTGAATAAGAGGGAGTACATTCCCCACCTCTGGAGAAGAAAGGAGGAAGGGGCAGAAGAGAAGGAGGAGGAGGAAGTGAGAAGGAGAAGAAGACAGAGATGGAGGAGAAGATGGAGATGGAGGAAGAGATGGAGGAAGGGTACCAAATACGTTGAGAAACAGGAGGACAGGCATCAGGGGACAGATTCTTCAAGGAGGTGAATGGACTGGTCTGAAGGACCCTGTAAAGCATCTCCCCAAAATCCTCTTTGACATCAAGGTGATACTTGCATGATAACCTAGATATGGGTCTCCAGAGATAAACTCACTACTCCTGATGATGTTTTCTGGTGGAACTTCACAAAACTGCTAGAGAGAAAAAGAATCCATTTCTCGAGCTCATATTGAAACAGTGACATAAATATTTTTAAAATCAGGGTTAGACCCCCCAAGACAGAAGTTGCAGGAGACGAGTGAGAAATCCACTTGTAAAGGGCGTCAGGGTCAAGTAGGTTCTGATGGGTGTTTCCCGTAAGTAGCCAAAGATATAGTCACCTGGGTGAGAAAGTCTTAAAAGGTGCACTTTTTGGCCAGGAGGCCTAAATATCAGCTCCATGCATGAAATGACTAAACTAGGTCAAGAGTGGCCATCCCAGAAGTTGTCCGCTACCCTGAGCTCTGAATATGTGTGTGTGTGTGTGTGTGTGTGTGTGTGTGTGTGTGTGTGTCGGGGGGGTGCTCTGAGTGGTCCTTAAGATGACCTGGAGACCATGTACTACATGTGATCTGCTGGTCCACTGTGACCTTCATCCTCAAATCAGTTTTATGTTTTAGGAAACAAATTCAAGGTGAGGCAGTCCCAAGAAGGGAGAGATAATTGATGAGGAGAAGTAGAAGTTACCCTGCCCTGTCCCTGCTGGACGGGAAGTTTCTGGCAGAGGCACCTTCCAGCCATGCTAGGACAACGGCTGATCAGAAGTTGGTACAGGGAGACCAGTCTCATTTCACTTTGCACCTTAGCATGACATGTTACATTTAACCATCAGAGGCATCTGAGACCTCTAAAAGTCTTGCGTATCCTTCTCAATTCATCATAGAGGAGAGGCATTCTTTAAAACAAAAAAAAAACCCTTAAAATAGCAAGCCTCCAAAAAACCAAAAAGAAAAAACAGTTTCAAAAACCTCTACTAGTTAAAAAAGATGTTAGCTTAAATGGGAAAAAAATGTATAATAGTAACTAACCACTTGATGTCAGAATTTAGCTCAAAGCCATAAAACATTCCTTTTTGTTTAATTATAATTTCATTAGAAAACTGAAGAAAATTGTATTGGAATGCAGTACAGGCTTAAGAGCACCTCTTCTTTAACCAGCCCTAAAGGCTACAACATTGGCTTAGAAAATGTCTATAAGAAGGATATTGAAGTATGGCCAAAAATACACCCAGATGGCATTTTAACTTTAAAGGTAATACAATGTGTTTGACAAAAACAGATTCAATATAATTCTATAAAAATTCGATTCATGAAAGTCCGGCAACGTGGAGTTTATAGCCTTGCTACTGTTTTCGTTAGAACTGTGCTGTGCAATTAGAAATACGCAAAACCCCTTTGGGGACTTCCCTGGTGTTCCGGAGATTAGAATCCACCTTCCTATGCAGGGGTATGGGTTTGATTCCTACTGAGGGATCAGGGAACTAAGACCCCACATGCCGTGGCAGCTAAGCCTGCACACCACAGGTAAGACCCTACACAGCCAAATAAACAAGTAAATATTTATTTTAAAAAGATATGCAGGATTTTTAGAAATAAATAAATAAATAAATAAATCCCAAAAGCGCCTCTCAAGAAAGATCTTTTGAGCACAAACAAGATTAATTAATTAAATGAGTATTTCAACTCAATAAACAGAATAAATTGACTCTATCTAGAAACTTCTGGGTCTATCTGCTAATCTTTACCTATGTCTATGAGGATTATTTCCCCAGAATCTGTTGAACCCCCTCAAGTCTGACACAGGCTTTTAAAACATGTCATAAGTGATATCTGAAGATCTTACCCAGGCAAATCAAGAAAATAGAGGCACAGTATAAAAGAAATCTGCATCTGAGTTATTTTCAATCACTAAAAAGTGATCTGGCAAAAGCCATTTGGCTTATATTGATTTTGAAAATCATTCTCTATATTAAAATATTCTAAATACAAATCATCGTTCTTTGCTCAATATTTATTGCTGTTTCACTTGCCTTGAAATAACATGAGTTGAAGTCCTTACATATATATCATTTCCTTTGCAAGATGAGCTCACTGATGCATAAAATGATAAAGAAGACTGTGTATATGTGTGTGTGTGTGTGTAGGAAGGGTGGAGAAGGAATATTCTCCATTTTTTCCCCTCCATTTTTAATGTCTATGAGAAACCATTAACTTATTTGACCCATTACTAGATATAAAAAGCCAAGGCCCTCTTGGATAAATACTTATAAATATATGGGACTTTGTAACAAACTTAAATACTCATTTATGTCTTTTTATAATGGAATACCAGACAGATGGCAACAACAAAAAGATTTCCCACTCTTTGAAATTAAACTTTACACCAAGTGGAAAGCACGATAAATATTATTGTTAAAAATATGTGTACAGTTTCATCCTCTACAGGTGGAAAAAACATTAATTTTTATTTTTAATTTCAATACAACTTCTGATGATGGGTTTGTTAAAANCAATGCGGGAGACCGGGGTTCGATCCCTGCGTTGGGAAGATTCCCCTGGAGGAGGGCATGGCAACCCACTCCAGTATTCTTGCCTGGAGAAGCTCATGGACAGAGAAGCCTGGTGGATACAATCCACAGGGTTGCAAAGAGTCGGACACGACTGAAGCGACTTAGCATGTATGCATAGATGATTTTATTCATGCACACATTGCTGATTTTATTCAGGAGCTTCCCCTACCATTCCATGCCTTAGCAATCTTTCGAATTAGAAGCAATGCTTCAGATCATGCCAAAAGTTTGTGCCCCAGGTCATGGGAAAGGTTAACTTAGAATCTATACTTTGAAATTGATGAGTTTTTCCATCCTTTGGAAAAACTTTAAAACTTTTCAATTCCCAGGGATCTCACATGGGGGGAAAAATGCAAAGAACACTTGCAGTTCTATTAAGAAATCTCTGAAGGAAGCCAATCTTAATAGAAGTTATTAGAAATGATTAGCCCCCTAGGATATGACCATTCCCTGAGCTTCCTTTGCAGCCTATTTGCAGGGAAGGCCAGCATTACAAACTAGGGTTTCCAAGGATGAAACAAAGAAAGCAAATGTTTCCTAAGTTTCCACTGTAGTAGAAGCTCTAATAAAAGATGTGGTCTGTGTAGCTTCTGTCAATGTGATTTTTCAAAGATGATCAGATATAAAGCAGTGGGCCCTGCAGGAAGAAGAAGTAGTAGGCAGGACAATGAACTTCAACAATTAGGCAAGAGGCAGCCCATTCAGGTTAGAACAGAACTAACACAGACATTGGCCTTTTGAGCTCACCTGTGCCATGAACCGGGCATATGACAGCCAATGAGATCTGTCTGGCTTTCTGTATGTCAACTTCCAAAAGAACTGTGATGAGTATAGGTACACAATGAAAGGAAAATTACTCTAAGTATTGCCTAACTGCTTCCAGAAAGTTATTTTTCTTTAAGGAGTGCCAAGGCAGGGTAGATACATGAGGGCTCCGGAGGCAGTGACTCAGTTTCCAAATTAAAAATAAAAAAAAACACTAAAAAGTAACAATGCCAGGAAGCTTAGATCAGCACTAAACTCAGCAAAGAGTACCCATGTGACATGTTGGTTGTTCTGAATCTCATAATTTCATCAAGTAACACTGACTCAAGCTCATGATTCTGCAAAAATAGTTAACAAATAAATATTTGAATTTAGAAAAAGTTCTCTTAGCTGAGTACTTATTAGAAAAAAGGCATATGAACAGTGCAGTTAAACTTTACACAGGACTGTGGGGTTTTGAACCCAATGGAGACAAATTAAACCACACTCGTTGCTTCTGCAGAGAGAAAAGGCTTCAGTTAAGATTATATCTATACCGAATTTGTTTTTAATTATTCTGGTGAAATAGTTACAATTTCTGGTAAAACCCTGGTGAGTTTAGAGAAAGCATTCTGAACGCAGACTAGAATTAGAAGTACCCAAATTTGCATTCTGAAGGTCTGTTACTGTGGCAAGAAAGCAAAGTTGTTTTTAGACTAGTTTTAAATTTGTACTATGCCTAGATCACAGTTAGACATGTGTGATGAATCAAATTTCTAAACACACCAAATCAAAGGTAAAATATCACGAAACAACAGAGTAATACTATCCCAAAACATAACCGATGTTGAACTTGGGTGATAAATACTAATGACATAGCATGCAGACCTAGTAAAAAGCCCCCTGGGACAGTGCTCCCTTACAAAGTAGGCAGGAAGTCACATTAAGGCTGATATAAACAACACTAAAAAAATAATGACCAGCCCAAACAAAGGCATTCCAATTAAAACAGATAAAACTTTATCGAAATCCAATCAAACTAATTTGTGCAGAGTCAGAGAGAGGTGGGTAGATGATCATAAACACAACCTCCAAAATAATGTTCTTTTT